TTCATTTTATTTTATTTTTGCAGGAGAGTCTCACTCTTGTTACCCAGGCTGGAGTGCAATGGTGTGATCTCTGCCTCCTGGGTTCAAGTGATTCTCCTGCCTCAGCCTCCCGAGTAGCTGGGATTACAGGTGGCTGCCACCACGGCCAACTGATTTTTGCATTTTTATTAGAGATGGGGTTTCACCATGTTGGCCAGGCTGGTCTTGAACTTCTGACCTCAGGTGATCTGTCTGCCTCATTCTCCCAAAGTGCTGGGATCACAGGCATGAGCCACCACGCCCAGCCTCTGAGAAATATTTAGATTGCATGCCTCAAATGGGCAGGGACTGTGTCTTACGCTTTTGTATTTATGGTATAGTGTACCTAGTACAGTGCCAGGCCCCATTTAACACTAATTGATTGCTCAGACAATAAAGAACTTGCTTTGGAAAGAGGAGAGGATGGCCAGGTGCCTCTGAATGGCTTGAACTTCATGAAGTCTTTTTCCCTATCCATTTTAGCAGTTTCTATTGATAACTCCTAGGGTGTGTTTATGGAAGACAAACTCAGAAGTGCTGTCCCGGCCTTAGGCCCTGGCGGTATGCCTCGCTGAGACTTTCATGGCACATTCACTACGGCCTTTCCCACACTGGGATGCTGGAGCTGATGAGTCAGGATAAGTACAAAAGGGGAGCACTTTTTAGTACAGTAGTTTTGAGAAAAGATTTGGGCCCCTGAAAGCCATGTTTGCATCCCTGCCATGTCCTTCACTGGCTGCTGGTCTCAGGCCACTGACTCTTAGCCTCTGTGTCTCAGAGCCTCAGTTTGCTTAACTGTTAAATGGGTTATTGATACCTACCTCACAGGGTTATGAGGATTAAATGTCTCCTATCTTTGAATGTCTTGCTCTGGTGTTTCCATGGAGATATCTTGTCTAAGTATGAACAGCAGTGCTGGCCACGAACTCATCAGCATTATTATTATTGTTAGTATATTTGAGACAGAGTCTCACTCTGTCTCCCAGGCTGGGGTACAGTGGCTCGATCTCAGCTCCCTGCAACCTCTGCCTCCCAGGTTCAAGGGATTCTCCTGCCTCAGCCTCCCGAGTAGCTGGGATTACAGGTGTGCACCACCACACCCATTAGTAGTAATTATACTACTAATTTAGTAATTATACTACTAATTTTTATATTAGTAGTAGAGCTGGGGTTTCACCATATTGGCCAGGCTGGTCTTGACTCTTGACCTCATGATCCACTCATCTCATCTCGACCTCCCAAAGTGCTGGAATTATAGGCATGAGCTATTGTGCCTGGCCGGGGATGCTTTTTAAACTTTGATTTTTTGCTACTCTGGTCCCTGAGGAGCATTACACATAGAGCTTTTCTTCTATTTTGTTTTTCATTCTCCCCACCCTCTTTTGCTCTAGTGTGTGGCATGGGAAGCCCTCTCTATGAGGATGCTGTGGCCACATAAGTGTTGGATGAACCGCTGGAGTAGGTAACTTTCAAGGTGTGCAATGGCATGATCCCCTAATGGCTCCTGCCATTTGGCCAGTAATTAGCGTACTGCTGCATATTGCCACTAGGTGGTGCTGTTGCTTCATCCCAACTGACTCATGCATCCTTGGCTGGGGTCAGCTTTGGGGGTTCCCAAGTGTAGGGGAATCCATCTCGTGCCTGTGGTAAGGGCTGGACACCAGGAAAGACCCAGAAAACAGGGATATTCCTAAAAGATAAAAGCAAAATAAGCACTCAGACCAGAGGACTTTTGAGTGTTAATAATGAAGGTGGTAGCAGTAATCATGGCTACCGTTTATTAAAGATAGTGGATATTGGCTGGATGTGGTGGTTCACACCTGTAATCCCAGCATTTTGGGAGGCCGAGGCGGGCAGATCACTTGAGGTCGGGAGTTCGAGACCAGCCTGGCCAACATGATGAAACTATCTACTAAAAATATAAAAGTTAGCCAGGTGTGGTGGTGGGCACCTGTAGCCCCAGCTACTGGGAGGCTGAAACAGGAGAATCGCTTGAACCCAGGAGGTGGAGGTTGCAGTGAGTCGAGGTCATGCCACTGCACTCCATCCTGGGTGACAGAGTGAGACTCTGCCTCGAAAAAAAAAATTCACCTGGATGCACCCATTGTTCACATTTGCCCTGGAGATCTCAATTTACATATATTTAATACTTCTTTGGCTGATGTATTTGAAGATAACAGGCAGACATCATGAGCCTTCACCCTTAAGAACTTCAGCATGAATCTCCTAAGCATGAAGATGTTCTCCACCAGGAGCACAAAATTATCTTCACACCTGAGAAAATCTGCAACAGTTTTCCGGCAGCTCCTTTCTAGTCCATATTCAAATTTCCTCACTTGTCTCCTGCTGTCTTTTATAGTGGTTTTATTTTTCCAAGCCAGGATTCAATCAAGTTTCACCAATTACGTTTGGTTATGTTTTCTTTATACTCTTTTGTTTTTATTTACATTGTTCTTTTAATAGTCATTCCAATTTTTTTTTAAGAGATGGAGTTTTGCTTTTGTCACCCAGGCTGGAGTGCAGTGGCCCGATATTGGCTCACTGCAACCTCTGCCTTGCAGGTTCAAGTGATTCTCCTGCCTCAGCCTCCCAAGTAGCTAAGATTATAGGCACCTGCCACCACACCTAGCTAATTTTTGTATTTTTAGTAGTGACAGGGTTTCACCATGTTGGCCGGGCCGGTCTTGAACTCTTGACCTCAGATGATCCAGCCGCTTCGGCCTCTCAAAATGATGGGATTACAGGCATGAGCCACCGTGCCTGGCTGGCATTTTTTTTTTTTTCAAGAGTCTCCTCTTGATCTCACCATTGCACAGACCCCTCCCCAAACCATCCCCAAGGCAGAGCCAACTAGACCGCATACTGCTTCAATCCTTAATAGACTTTATTATCACAGGCTTTTCTTATTACAATCTATTCATATGAGGATGGGGCTCCCGAACCAGATCAGCCTGGAGTAGGCCTACCCTGTTCAATCTTAGCCCGGTCTATGGCGCCATCTGATTGAAATCTGACTTGCTTCTCTTCTCACCAACCTCCTCAGGATCCCAGAGGTGGAAACATCCTGCAGCCTTCCACCAGCATTCTCTTGATGTTCCCCTCCTTTCACTGACTCTCCTCACTGTGTTTCTACTAACTTACTCTTACGTACAAAAAACAGATCTTTCCTTAATGTACATTGGATATCCTTTTGGATCAGTACCATACCTGAGGCCAGGCATGGTGGCTCATGACTATAATCCCAACACTTTAGGAGGCCGAGGCGGATGGATCGCTTGAGGTCAGGAGTTCAAGACCAGCCTTGCCAACAAGGTGAAATCTCATCTGTACTAAAAATACAAAACTTAGCTGGGCATGGTGGCACATGCCTGTAACCCCAGCTACTTGGGAGGCTGAGAAATGAGAATCACTTAAACCTGGGAAGTGGAGGCTGCAGTGAGCTGAGATTGCACCACTGTACTCCAGCCTGGGTAATAGAGCGAGACCCTGTCTCAAAATCAAAGAAAGAAAGAAACAAATTACACCTGCATATTTACATAAATGAGAGATCATTTCTGTAAAACACAGTGTAGTAGCGGCATATAGTATAATAAACACTCAATAAATATGAGCTATTATTGCTGGGGCAGTGCACATCGGGGCTCTTTTTCCTCCATTCTCTTGTGTAGCCTAAATTTGCAGCTGTGTGTTGGCAGCCACCTCATACTAATGAAGCATACTGAGCTTGGGATCATTTCAGACCTGCAGATCTCTTTCAGAGGAAATGCAGTGGGGCCCGGGCTCCCTCTTCTGCATCTGTGCACCTGCTTTCAGGAACCTAATGAATGATTTGCATTTGTCTCTTCATTTCATCTAGGCTTTGGCCCATCATCGTAACCTGTTGGCTTATTTTGAAGTTCAGATTTTGTCATTGAATGTATCAGGTACCCTCCAAGCTTTGCTTCCTATAAATTTGATACCTGTGACTCATAAGTCATCATCTGAGTCATGATAAAAAAAAAATTGAATAAGACTGGGCATGGTGGCTTATGCCTGTAATCCCAGCACTTTGGGAGGCTGAGGTGGGTGATCACTTGAGGTCAAGGGCTGGAGACCAGCCTGGCCAACATGGTGAAACCCCATCTCTACCAAAAATACAAAAATTAGCTGGGTGTGGTGGCATGCACCTGTAGTCCCAGCTACTCGGGAGGCTGAGGCAGGAGAATCGCTTGAACCCAGGAGATGGAGGTTATAATGAGCTAAGATCATGCCACTGCACTCCAGCCTGGGAGACAGAGGAGTCTCTCTCTCTCTCTGTCTACACACACACACACACAAACACACACACACACACACACACACACACGTTGCCATTAGAAACCTCCCTTCAGCTTGATTCATTTGTGTAGCAGATATTTACTAAGCACATATGATGTGCTCTGTAGGGGACACTTCCATTCGTTAGATGTGGATGTTCAGCCATCTATGTAACTTAGCTAATAACACTCTAAATCTAGCCCTTATTGCTCCATTTTACCCACCAGGAATCCTGAAAGTTTCTGTCAGGTGCTTTGCTAAAATTAAGTATACAGTATGCATGGCAATGCCTTCATGTACCACTCTCTCAGCAATGGAAATAAGGTTAATTTGACTAATTGCTCTTAGTAAGCCACTTTGGCCACTAGTAACATCTGTCATCTTTTTTAAGCTTATCTGATTGCAGATCAACCTCAGACATACCCACCTGTCCTTTCTGGAATCCACCTTCTCTCTCTCACAAACCTGGGTGATATTTGCTCATCTCTGATTTTCCCCCACCTTTTCCAGCTTCCTGATGTCTCAATATTGACAGTAGGGGTTTGAAATCACACAGTAAAGCTCTTGGATGTATTCAGTTGGAGTTAAGAGTGTAGCTCCCATAAAGCAGAGGGGCTCTCCTTGAGTGCTCTGTCACCTGTTTTGGGTCCCAATTTCCCTATAATTGTGTTTATTATCCTTTCCAGGTTGAAGATTATTCTCTCTTCTAAAGAAAATAGAAGAACACTAGGAGAAAAGATACTTTAAAATGTTCAGTCTTTTATTCACATTACATCATCTGTCTTGAATAGTGGGTCTATCTCTTTCCTGTTACTCTGGCCATGAAAAAAAAAATAGCTTTTTAAGGCTGCTTTTGTGATGTGTGCATGTTCTTGTAATCCCCTGTCATTCTGGGATTGAGTCATAACAGCATTAATACCACCTACCATTTGTTGGTTACTTACTGTGTTTTAGGCACTGCACTAAATGCCTTACACATATTCCTCTCATTAGTAAACATTTCTGAAGCTATTCTTATAATTTGTTCTTTAATTTTTCTTGTTCACATCCTCTTAAAATCTGAGCTTAGCCATGAGCTCTCAGTGAAGCTGCTTATATCTCTTAATAAACCCCTCTTTGCTTCCTCCAAGTGGAGTGGGTTGTACTTCTGAGGTCAGGACAATCTGGGCACCGGAGTTCAGCCTTCCGAGGCTGCAGGACGGAGGTTCCCTGAGGGGAGCAAGATGATGCAAGGCCTTGACTCAGAGTACCTGACAGCCACGGATGGGAAGAGAGAAGCCACAATGTGACCATGCAAGGATGCAAAGGACGAAGGGGGAGAGGTGGGCTAGGCATTGGGCCCTGGGTGTGGGGAGTGGAGTGGGAAAAGGTCTAAAGGTGAAGTCTGGGAAGACTGGGCATGGGTCTGGAAGTGGAGAGAAGGGAGCCGTTCTGGGAGAGCTGTGAGCAATGTGAACCCATCATTTCTGTTTTCACCAGTGAGGGTGAGAATCGAGCCCACAGGAGTGGCTCCCTCCTCTGCTTCCTCGACCTGCAGAGAGCTACATGGGGCAACAAGCAGGGGAAACCTTTACAAGATGCTCTTCTCTTAGCAGAATGAGCTTTTCTGACCATTTCCCAAGAGCCAAATTTCCTCCCTGAATGTTGCCTCTGTTCTGTGATTTGCATTAAAAAAAATTGGGTATAGCCTCTCCACTGTGTTGTCACATCTGAGATAAGGGACTGCGTTTTTGCAAAATTCTCTTCCAGGGTCAAGCACAGGGTCGATGTTCGGCAAATGTTTGCTGAGTTAATGAAGGAAATGAAAGCACTCTCCTTATGCTCCTCAGCTGGGTGATGTAGACAAGAGTTCTAGAACAATATAATTTATATTTCTTTTTCCTTCTAAGTGACCCTAGAAATTCTCCACAAGGCATGTGCAGATATCCCAGATGTGTGAGTTTCCAGGCATGTGCTTTATGTACAAATCCTACTGCATATATATGATTTTATTTTTTGAGACAAGGTCTTATTTTCATTGTCCAGGCTGGAGTGCAGTGATGCCATCTTGGCTTACTGCAGGCTTGGCTTGACTTTCCGAGCTCAGGTCATCCTCCCACTCAGCCTCCCAAGTAGCTGGGATGACAGGTGCACGCCACCATGCTCAGCTAATTTTTTGTATTTTTAGTGGAGGTGAGGTTTCACTATGTTTCCCAGGCTGGTCTTGAACTCCTGGGCTCTAGCAATCTGCCCACCTTGGCCTCTTAAAGTGCTGGGATTGCAGGCATGAGCCCCTGCTCCATATATGTTACTTGTTCATCTGATAGAAGACCCCAAAAGAGACCAGCACCCCAAAGAAGCATGTATTTCTCTTTGGAACCAGAAGCAAACATCTAGGGATGAGCATGCAGTAGGTGTTTAATAAATATGTGTCGACTAGACCAGCACCCCAAAGAAGCATGTATTTCTCTTTGGAACCAGAAGCAAACATCTAGGGAACCAGATGCAGTAGGTGTTTAATAAATATGTGTTGACTAATTAGGGAGCACAAATATATAAAAGTGGTAAATTAGCAAGAAAGAGCAGCAGTGTAGATAAATAACACAGTTATCTAGAACAAGAGAATCTATCTCTGAGGGCTCTGTGTAGGAGGAACGGCGGTGTTGGCTAGCGAGGCAGATCTCTCTTCTAATTAGGCTCCAATCAGCATAATATTGCAATTAGCTCAGGATATTATAGCAGTTAGCTTCTATTCTTGGAACAAATTCCTGGGAGATTTAAGTTGGGTGGTAAAAGAAGGTCGTCCCAGGAATAAATTTGCTGTGAGCCACTTCTGAGTGACTACCTCATATGTGTGTAATTGAACCACCAATGTAAACCTGATTGGATGGCTTCCTTCTTTATCGGCAACTCTTAAACATGAGCTCAGAAATTTGGACAGCCACTTAACAACAGATCACAGATCGGGAAATTGCAGATTTCAAATTTCAGAAAAATTGGTGAATTTAGACAACTTGAGTGTCTCCTTTCTGTCAGGGTAGACAGCCTTGGGCCTCCAGGATCTGGCTGACAAGTGCTTGCTGCTGAGACAGGCACGGAAAAGAATGAAAAATATGATGTCCTCGATTATCTTCCTGGTTATTGAGACATTTAAAAACTCTGCCCCAGCCCACCCTGACAGTCTCCTGTAAGCAGCTCGATTTTCTCTCAACCCGGTGACAGACCCAGGAGGATGTTGTGTCTGGGAATGTTTGCTTTCCCTGGCTGGGGTGAGTCGGGCTTGAGCAGTGGAGACAGCGCGACAGAACCAAGCCACGAATCCTGGCTCTCCATTCGCCCAACCAGTGGCTTTTCGCCTCATCCTTCACCCTCCACGCTTCTTCTCTTTCTTCTGCATCAGGAGAGGCAGATGTAGAGCCCAGAGTTTTTTGTCAAAGAGCCTGAGCTGGAATCCTGCCTGGCTCCACCGCTAGGAGGTGACTGTGGCTTTCTGAGTTCCAGTTTCTTCGTCTATAAAATGGACATGATATCATCTGCCCAAATCGCTTCAGGAGGTTGGTTGTTGAAAAGGGTGGTGCCCATATGCCTGCCCTAAGCTTGAAAGGACTGCAATCGGTGCCGGCCTTGTTGCCCACAACCTTTACCTTAATGCTGACGACGATCACAGGCTCTTGAAACTGGCCCAAGGACCCACCCCTGCCACCCGCTGCCCCCCACTGCCCCCTGCTGCCCCTGCTCCTGCGGGGCTGCCCTGCAGATGGCGCTGTGGCTCAGAAAAAGCAGCCAGCAATAAATCAGGGCAGCTGGATTCAATGTGTCCTAGTCTAGTCAAGCCAGACGAGACGTGGGCGTGTTTGGCACTTTAGGTGGGTCCAGTCTGGATTTCCCGTACCTGCACGTCCTAGATGTGTATCCCTCACAAAAGGTCCCCCCCATCACATTTGTACCTCCTCAAATTAAGCCACCCGGTCCCCGCTGGGCCCCCTGGGAACCACTGCAGCAGGCAGTGTGTTTCATCCCTGTGGAGCATTTTAGCATTAGATGCAGATGACGACTTTGCGCTCCCATCTGCCTGTGACAGAGGCTGCCAGCTCCACTCTTGGAAACACCCTTGTTCTGACTTAGTTTCCCGTCCAAGATAAAGGTAGGTAGGCTAAAAAAGGATCTAAGCCAATGCTAAAAGAAAGAACACCCTAAAACCCCTATGTGGAGCTCAGAAGGCAAAGGCCTGCCTCCACAGACCAGGCTAAAGAGCTGGGCTTTGGCGCCAACACATTCAGTTTGGAATCCAAGCTCCACCATTTAGCATGTGTGTGACCAGGGGCTTGTTAGGCAATGCCCTAAGCCTCCCTTCCCTGCCTATAAAAATAAGAGATGATACCTGCTTCATAGGATGCAGTGGTGAGGATTCAATGAGACAAGTCGTGCAGTAGGCTTGATATAGTGCCTGGCACACAGGGATATTCGAATAGTGATGACAATTAGATCAGGAGCAGACATTGAGGGAGGAGGGAGCAGCCCAAGGAGGAGACAACAAGGAGAGCTAGGGAGGGAGAGACGTGTCAGAAAAGAGACAGTAGGTTCTGCAGAGGAAGGTTTCTTGGTACCCCTCGAAAGCTGCTGTGGAAATCCATCTTTATTCTGACCTTTTTAGGCAGCCATGCTGGCAGGGATCTGGGCACCTGGCAAAGCAAGCTGACCATCTGGCCAGCTGTTTCTGCAACAAAAAGAGATACCGTCAAAGGCTTTAGGAATTGGGCTTCTTTACCCACAGTTGGCACTGTAGGTCAAAGAGGTCCTCCTTGAGACCATCATCTTCTCATCAGCAGTCTTCCAACCAGCACACTGCAGCGGCCAGTGAGTGAATGCAGGATCATCTCCAGGAAGCCAGTACTAAGACCAGGGCCCAGAGCCGGCACTGAGCAAATCGCCAGGGAGTAGGGACCACCCTTCCCTCCCGGTCAGTGATCTTGTTCACTGGGGGTACTGTCTCCTCCGGATCCCTTGAAGACTGCTCCCTGCCATGGCCATGATAATCTGTCACACTGCGTGGCCTGGCCAACATGGTGAAACTCCATCTCTACTAAAAAATTAGCTGGGTGCAGTGGTACACACCTGCAATCCCTGCTACTCAGGAGGCTGAGGCAGGAGAATTGCTTGAACCCAGGAGGCGGAGGTTGCAGTGAGCCGAGATCGCGGCACTGCACTCCTGCACTCCAGCCTGAGTGACAGAGTGAGACTCTGTTTCAAAAAAAGAAAAAGAAAAAAAAGTGCAGGTTCTGAGGCCAGGCTGCCTGGGTCCATGCATTAGCTCTGTGACCTTGGGCAAGTGATTTAGCCACACTTTGCCTTGGTTTTCTGGACTGCAAAATGGAGCTGTGAGAGTTCACCAAGTTCATGCTTATAAGGAGATGGCAACAGTGCCTGGAGTTTAACACGTGCCCCACAGGTGTTATCTGGGGCTGTTGTCATCTCTGTGGCCAACTATGTATCGGTTCCAGGTCTTGGGGTCACGTCTGTGTGCCTACTGCCCTAGGTGCCCCAATACCTGGTCTCTTTTTCTCCCATTAAAAAATCATCTCGCTTCTCTGTCTCCCTGTCTCTCTTGCTTTCCTCTTCCCTTTCTTAGCACACTATTTAACAAACATGGATGAAGTGCCTGCCCTGTGCCAGGTGCTGGGAGGGGAGGGTGCGATGAGAGACGCATACGGAGATGGAATAAACAGTGAGCCTTGCACAGGACTCTCTGAGCGCCCACAGCTAGGAAGAACAGCAGTTAGTCCATGATGCTGTGGCCTTCACCATCATCACAGGGGAGCCAGAATCTGGAGACACCCAGGTCCTGAAGATGGATCCTGCCCAGCCCCCACAGAAGACAGAGCTGCCATCACCCTCAGCCTGCAGGAAGAGCCATGTGATTCAGCAGGAGGGAGATCATCTTCCCGAGACAAGACGGGGGCAGCAGAGGTGAGAGTCTGGCTGGGAGGGAATGGGGCTGCTGGCTGACAGCTTAGCTGTCACATCCAAAACCT